CCCCCCGCCTACCCGCCGCGCTCAGATGCGACTGTGGACGCAGGCGCGGCTGATGGGCATGTGGGCAGCGCACAACATGACGGGCCGTGCGGATGACTCTGGCCTCAGCATGGCTTTTGAGCTGGTGAGGCGGTGTGATTTGCACAGCGGATTGACGCGGCGGCCGCTGACGCTCCAGCACGCTGGGCGTCACGGCAGCAAAATGGGGTTCACGTGTCAACCCCAACCCCAGCCTCAACGTCAACGTCAACGCTGTTCAGCAGTCGAATTTCCACTCGAATGCGCACACGACACCGGCCGATCTTGTTTTTGTCTAAGTTCCATGGTATCGTGGTACCAGGGCCCATGAGTAATCAGCTCTCGCTCCTCCCATCTCATCAGAGCTGGCATGCACACGCCTTTACCCCAAAACAACTGCAAAGCCGGCGCCTTCAACACACACTCGCTGTTCAATTGCAGTTCACTCACGCCACGCGGTTCTTGGGCAAGAAGGTGGTCCTGCTGGGCCTCTACAACGGCCAGAAGCTGCAGCACGAACCACCCGGTGACATCAGCCTGTACAGCCGCACCCTGGGGGAGGGCGGCCCCGGCTCGACGTTCGTGCGCGTGCTGCTGCTGCGGGGCCGCCTGCAGGGGGCGGTGCTGATAGGGGAGACCGAGCTCGAGGAGGCCCTGGAGAACCTCATCCTAGACGGCCTGGACCTGGGCGGGGTTGGGCCGGCGCTGCTGGACCCGGGCATACAGCTCGACCACGTTTTTGACTGAGTCGATTTCGCTGGGAGGTTGTCGGCCTGATGGTGTGCAGGCTCCCGTTTGGTTGCGAAGGATTCAGGCGCTCGAGTTGGCTGGCTGGCTGGCTGGCTGCGTTCGAATTGCCACGGCCCCCCGCTTTGGCAGCACACGCCACGATGGTGTCGGGCAGGCCAGGAGGTGGTTCGCTGCCCTTGATTTTGTGAGAGTTGGCTGACGCCTGGACGATTCCTCTTGCTAGCCGAGCGATATTGATTGTCAACACAGCTCACTGTTGAAGCTTGGTCCGTCAACAGCCCTGCACGCGTGCATTAGCGATCATACATTTGCCACCCCACGTGGTGGTAAATCTACTAGGCAAGGATAAAAGATTGGGAAGTCAACATTCTAATGAAAGATTTGTGCTGACCACATCACACGCATCTGCGTTTGGCTTGAGTGGTCGCCCCTCCCGTCATGTTGCGTGGAGACTGCGGGACATGGGAAATCCAATGCTCAATGGCCGCCAGGCGCCATGAAGCTGGGAGACTTGGAAGCGTAAGGGCTGCATCGATGTGTGCCATGCTTCCAGTCAACGACATTGGCAGGCCCCATGCAGTGACCTTGCATGCCATCATCCGCAGCCTGACTTGACCGCCTGCTCAAGTGATGCCCAGGTGATGTCCAACCCAGTGCCGCCTGTTTCCGATTGCAGACTGTGCTTGGTCGCAAGATTCTTTGCAGCGCAACACATCCCGCATTCACCGCGACGTGCAGAACTTGCGATCTGGATACATGATCGATGCTCCTTTCGCTGCTCGCTTTTCGCATCTGATCTGCTGTCATAGTCCTCTTACGCTAGTGGCTGCTGCCAGCATTGTTTGAACCGTCCTAAGCTGTCGGTGGCGCGGGTGCTGTGTGTTGTGCGCAACCGCAGCGTTGAGAGCATCCACGGCTGCTGGTGCCTTGGGCGATCCCTGGGCCCCAGGGCTTGCGGTGAGAGAAACATGCATGCAGCTTTGCTGCGCCTGTATTGGAGTGCTCTGCGTTGCTAAGGAACCCCTTGATTATGATAATTGATCCTGCGGTACGGGGCAGCTGAGCAACCACCATTCCTGCATGCCCGCGCCCTCAACCAACCCCCCTAAAAACGCATCAGCAGCACCAGCGCCGCGATGCGGCCAGACGAGCCGCTGGCGGCGTCGTGCGCCGTGCTGGTGAACAATAAGGCGTTTGTCAACTCCAATGGCTGGCCGCTCGGCCTGCTGGTCAGCCCGCAGCCACCGCAGAGCCTGCCGACACCGCTGATCGCCACGCCGCCGCCCGTCTGGCTGGCCGTAGGTAGGCAGCCGTCGCCAGAAATAGTTGTGCCGCAACTGAAAACTGTGCAAAAACCTGCTGGTGTGGGATTTTGCGCCCCATGAAACCCCTTCATTATGCCGTCACATGACCCCCGCACCTGGCTGCGACCACGCTGAACAACCGGCGCAGTGATCGATGGCGCGATGGCGGACGACGCGCTCTCGGCCGCGGCGAGCGGCCTCTCTCAGGCGCTGCAGCAGCTGCCCCCACACACTCACGTGCTGGTCGCCGTGGCCGACCGCGTCGCATCGTTCTTCGACCTCGCCTCGCCCCGGCCCCAGGCGTGGGTGCTCGCCGGCGCGGGCGCGCCCGCGGCGCCCGGCGCGACGGCCCGCCTCCTCCGCGCGAGCGGCGTGCGGCCGGCGCCGCTGGCGGCGTGCGCGGCGATGCTGCAGGTCGCGCTGCGGTCGCTGCGGCGCCAGGACGACAGCGGCCGCGGCGTTGACGGCGGCGGCGGCGGCGGCGGCGCAGCCTGGCCCGCAGCGGACGCTGATGCCACAACACCACCTGCTGCTGGTGGTGCCGCCACTGCTACAAAATCGTCGTTGACTGCCCACCAGGAGGACGACGAGGGCGCCGCGGAGGCCGAGCACGCGCGGCTAGGGTCCGCGGCGGCGGCAATTGACCTATGCCTCCACCTGCTGGGCCGCGGGATGGCAGATTGGGACGCGCGCCACAAGGCGGAGCTCGCCGCCGCGCACGCGGCCGCCGCAGCCGCGCCCCCGCCGCGCGCGCAGCCGCAGCCGTTTCCGGCCAAGCCGATGCACGCAGCGCACGTGGTCTACCTTACGGCCGCCGGCCCGGGCCCGCACCCGCCCCCGGCGGCCGCCGCGCGGGAGCCGCGGCTCGCAGCGCGCCTGCAGGCCGCATTTGGCGAGCTGGCTGCCAAGGCGGCCGCCATGGACGCGCAGATCGACGCGATCGTGGGGGACGCGGCCGCGCCCGCGCTGCCCTTCCTGCCAGACTGCGTGGCGGCCTGCGGCGGCGTGCTGCTGCACCAGCCGGGGCTTGCCGCGCCGCTCGCGTCCAACGTGGTCGCGCTCTGCGGGCGGCGGCTGGGGTGGGACGCGTTCATCGACGTGCGGACGCCGGCGGGGCTAAAGGTGGCGCAGCTCGTCGGGCCCCTGCTGCACCAGGACGGGCAGCTGCCCGGCAGCATCTCGCCGGTCGACCCACAGCCAGCGGCCGCGCCGCCGGATCGGCAGCAGCTGGAACGGGACGGCGGCGGCGGCGCCGGCGGGGTGAGGGGCCAGGGAGACAGCGGCGCGTCCTCCCCTCCTCTGCCGCCACAGGGCCAGCAGCACCGGCCGCAGCAGCAGCAACGCGTCGCGCGCCCGGCGGTCGCGCCAACGCGGCTGTCAGCAGCGGCAGCGTCTGCGCCGGCGATTGACCGGGGGCGGTATTACGGCGCGACGCTGGAGCTGACCGCCGACCTTACGGCCGGCGTGAGTCAGGAGGTCCAGGTGCTGTGGGAGTGGACGACGGCCGACGGGCGGCGGGTGCGCCAGGTCAGCAGCACGCAGCTGCAGGTGGCTGAGCGGCTGCCTGACTTCCTTTCGGGGCTGGATCTGGAGGCGGGATCTCTGCTCTCCGCGCGGCGGCTGGTCGCTGCAGCGCTCAACGCCGCCGGCGGCGTCGGCGGCCGTGGCGGCGGCTCTTGGGGCCGTCCGCTCCGGCGCGGCGCGCTCGGCGACGCGCGGCTGGCGGCGGGGCTCGCGCTGCAGCTGGCGGCGCAGCGGATGGGGGTCCAGCGGAAAGGGCGCGGCGGGCTGTTTGGGTTTGGCGCTTCGAGCTCCTGGGAGCTGCCGGTGCCGCTGATGCCGCTGGCGGTGGCGATGTACCTCCTGCAGGCCGGGCCGCTGCTGTGCGCGGATGACGGGGACGGCACGGCCTCCGCCGCGGCTGCCGACGAGTGGCGGCTGCGCGCGCACCAATTCCTGTGTGCCGCGCCGGGCGTGGCGGCGTGCGTCGCGTCGCCATCTCTATACGTGCAGCTCGCAGCAGCGGGCGGCGGCGGCGGGAACGCGCCCAGCGGGGCTGACGCCAACGGCGGCGGGGCTGGCGGTGGCAAGAGCGGTGGCGGCGCTGCGCCCCCGGGCGGCTTCGAGGCGGTGCCGCCTGTGACCATGGCGGTGGGGCCGTCGTCCCTGGCTGTGCTTGACTGCGGCACTGAAATCCTCGTGCTGGCCACCGCAGCACTGCACGCGGCGACCGCCCGGGCGGACCGCACGGCAGAGACGCCCATGGACCAGCGGCAGCAGCCACAGCAGCAGGAGCAGCAGCAGCAGCAGCAGCAGCAGCAGCAGCAGCAGCAGCAGCAGCAGCAGCAGCAGCAACAGCAGGCGGAGCCGCCTCTGTCGCCGTTGCCAGACCTTCCCAACACCGCTGCGCCGGCAGTGCAGTTTGCGCACCAGCTCGCGCGCGGCCGCCTGCCCGTGCCGTCCATCCACGTGCTGCAAGACGAGCGGGACGTGGGCTGGTTCATGCGGCGCCTGCTACCGCTGCACCTGGACGTGCTGCCTGTGCAGATGGCGCTGCTGCCTGCGCTGCGCAGCCTCAGTCCTCATGAGCACGCCGGCCTGATGCAGTGGCATGCCGGCTTGGGTGGCGGCGAGGCGCCTGAGGGCGGGTCGTTCGGGCACTTCTGTGCAGGCTGCAGCGTCAGCCTGCCGGTTGAGGGCGGGCTTATGGAGGGCGTGCCGGTGGGTGAGTGACCCACGTGGCTGGGTAGTCATGGACGAGCACAGGCAAGCGAGGGCCTCAGCGGCGTTTGTGGGCTGTATTCCGTGCGCCCTATTCGGCCTGCTTTTTTGATTTGAAATTGTTTGTGTTAGGCCCTGCAGCAGAGTGTGCGGTGTGGCTTGTTGCCACAAGGGGTCGATTAAACATGCCGACCAGCTGGCAAAGGAATTTTTGCCCTGCTGCTAAGCATCCAGAGTGTGCTGAGGCGGCCAGAGTCGGGAGTGACCATCAGGGGCAGCAGGGTGATGGTGGGCGGCCACAACCACCGCGCCTTGACAACTCCCTGTGTTCCTTGCAACTTCAGAAAAATCACAAGGTAAAGCACTGTGTAGAAAAATCTTGTCACACGCAGCAGATTAGCAGCGCAAGGTGAAGCACACAATCATCCCTGTTCAGAGACGCGACGCGACGCCCTCATCCACCCCGTCGAGAAGGTGGGCGGGGGCAAGGGCGTGCGCCGATGGCCGGTTGGCCATGTCTTGAGAAGCCCTACAGCTCCGCCAGTTGCTTGGAAAACATATTACCTTTATCAAGGCCTCCGACCAGCATAAGACAACTAGGCAACACGCAACATGGACTCACACAGGTCACGAGGAGGGGAGGGCCGCAGGAGCCTGTGCGACTTAGGCCACGAGCTGGTAGAGGAGATAGTCAAAAACTTGAATGCCCGGTCCTTGGCGGCCCTCTCAGCTGCGTGCAAAGTGTTTCGCTCCTTTGAGCCCCACGGTGGCTCTGAGAAGCTGCGCCTCGTGGAGCGAGTAGCGAGACGAGCTGTTTTGAGTTATAATGCAGGGGACACTGAAGCAGCCAGCCGGCACAGGTGGGTGATCCCGCCTGCCCGTGCGGACTGCATGGATGCCCAGCAGCTCCTGTTAGCATATACAAAGCCAATATCATTGATCTTTGGTTCCTGGCCTCAGCACAGCGTGTGTAACGTGCTTGCATGTGTGCTTGCTGTTTGACTGCTGCACTCTGCTGCAGTGTGCCTGCGAGGATGCGGTGCATGAGGTTCATTAGGCTGTGGCCAAAAGGATGAAGGCTTGCCCCATATCTTGATACTATGCTTGCATGCGGCCAGACCAGGACCCCATGCCCTTCTGAAACCATCGTTGCCTTATCCTCCTCTTCGCGCCATCCGCAGGCGCATGGGCTGGCTGGAGCGCCTCCACGTAGAGGAGTGCGCCGCCGGCTTTGACAGGCGATGGGCGGTCAAGAAGGCTGGTGATGCTGCGGGCTTCCGCTTCATCACAGACCCGGCGACGGGGGCAGCGCAGATCCTGCTGCAGGGCATGGGGCCCAAGCTGCTCCTGTCGGATGCATCCACTGGCCAGCAGCCCCTGCTGCGTTGGCGGCTGGTCGTGCGAGGCAACACGGCAGTGGAGTTTGGGGTCGTCCCAGCGGACATGCAGGTGCGCAGCTGCAGGGTTCGAGAGCTGCAGCAAACCGCTGATTGGCTTGGGTTTGGCAGCCAGCTCTGTCGGGGGGACACTCCCACAACTTGATAGCGGGCCTGGTTGCAGCAGCATTATCATCATTGTGGAAGCATAAGTAGATCTTGGGGATGCCTGAAGCCCTGTCTCTCCCTGTGGCATGGTGCTGCAGTTGCGGACCTGGCTGACCCCGTCGTCCCCCTCCTTCCTTTGCGCAGTACGCCACCGTGGCAGAAGAGGAGCAGGTCAAGGTGCACAAGGCGCTGCACAAGTGCCGCCACCCCGACGGCTCCGAGTTCCGGGAGAGCGTCGGCTTCAGCAGCGCCATCACTGTTGGCAGCCTGCTGCCCTTCAAGGTGCCGCTGATGAAGGGCAGCGTGGTCGAGGTGCTGGCCACGCGCGGGCGCTTTGAGTTCCTGGTTCTCAACCCGCCAGACGCGCAAGAGCTCTTTTGGTCAGGCGCTGGCCACCACGCACGCACAGTGCCCAAGCCCTACAAAGGCCCCAGCCGCTTTGCCATGGAGCAGTCGTTTGACCCCAGCCAGGACGTGAGACTGGCGCTGACGTGCTGGGCGCAGGGCGTCTTCGACATGCTGCACCCGCAGCCCGCGCCAGACTCGGCGGGTGCAGCTGTCACCTGTGTCAAGCGGAATGCGTCAATGGTGGCGGCAGCGGCAGGCCTGTCTGGCGCCTCGCCGGCGGGCAGCGGGGACAGCAGTGGTGCCGGTGTGAGTGGCAGCGGTATCCGCGCAAGCGGCAGCGGCAGCGGGCCTGGCCCAAGCGGCAGTGGTGCAAGTGGCAGCAGCAGTGGTGCCACAGGCATGCAGCTCAATGCGGCCTCAACGTTGGCCCTGAGGCTGCGAGAGCGCTGCGAGCAGTTGCAGGGGTCGCGCCTCTCCCCGGGGCCCGCTGCGCCACTTGCCCAGCAGCAGCAACAGCAGCTGCGACAGCAACTGTTGCTGCAGCAGCACCAGCAGCAGCAACAGCAGCAGCAGCAGCAACAGCAACAGCAGCAGCAGCAGCAGCAGCAGCAGCATCTTTCAGGCGGCGTGGAGGTTGTGGACTTGTCAGACATGCCTGCGTCACCCTCAGACCACAGCACTGGTGCACTGTGAGGGGCCGCGCCGGCCTGCGATCATTTAGACGCTGATGAGCGTGGCAGCTGCGGGATCGTTGCAGGCGTGCAGGGCGCGCTCCCTGCCGTGGCTGTCGAGCACTCCCTGTGTGCTGCATGCACCCTGAGGTGTAGATTAGGTCGAGTGGCATCGATGCTTTGCTCATAGTACTGCCTACCGTGGCTCATTTTTGTTTGGCGATGCCTCAGGGCTTTGCGGCATGGAGACAGCATGCACCCGGCTAGAATGATACCATTGAGTAGTCTGCAGGGTGTCATGGCCTGAGCTGTGTAACATGCCCTTCGACTTTTCGTGGGACTTGCCCTGCAGCACCTGCATCGTGGGATTTGTCTTGCAACGAGCTGATTGTCTTTGACACCCTCCTAATCCTCTGCGGGTGCAATTGGCAGATGCCGGATTGTAAACGCCGCCGGCCGGGCGAACTGTCACCGCGCGCCGCAAGGTGACGCAAGCTTGCTCAACCTGCGACCCTCATGATGCACACACCTAGCTGATTTAGGGCTGGCGTGCGACCGGCACACCCTGCCTCGATGCTCATGTGTTAAATATTACATGTGATGCATGGGATTGTGTGATTTGCTCACTCAGATGTTACAAAAACGAGGGGACAGGCACGTATGCACGAGGGGGAAATCTGTCAAAACCACTTCTTGAGAAAGTGAGGACTGCTTGTCGGATTGCTGCTGCTGCTGCTTCTGCTGCTGCTGCTGCTGCTGCTGCCGACGCTGGTGCTGCTGCTGCTGCTGCTGCTGAACTGCCTGCTGCCACCTGTGCTGCTTATGAAACTGCTGCCGCCGCCACTGCTGCTGCCGAGCTGTCCTTTGCCAGGCAGCCCTGCTGCGCCTGCCGCATGCTGCACTCGAATCGGTGGTTTTAAGCTGGCAGCGTCCGCCTCGTTTACTTTCCTGGTGAAGAACATCTGATCCGTCTCTATTCGCACAAGGTGTGCCACCTGCATTAATGGACGGAGCGGGGTGGGGAACAGTAGGGCAGCAGTTTCTTCGGGCACTGCGTTCAACGACGAGAGCTTGCGCACAATGTCGCAAATTGCAGAGGTGGTGCGCTGCTGAACAAGCTTACCACAGCCGAGACGGGACGTAGTCAGAGCGCTTGAGCACTGCCGTTTTCACAACCAACAGCAATCGTTTGAGGCGGCGCTGCTGCTGTTCCTTGCTTCCTGCAGCCGTTGCAGCTGCTGGAACTTCCTGTGGGCTGCGTTGCATTGCGCGCAAATGCAGGCTCACCTTTTGCAGCTGTCCCCGTGTGACAGCAGTATTGACGCGCTCCACGCAGTCGTGCCGCCGCTTGAGGCCCAGGCTTGTCAGTATGCGCTTGTGAAACCACGGCGCGCCAATCGGGCTGCGGCGGAGCGTCACGAAAAACGTCCGCACGGCCTCCTGTGCGGCTGACATGTTCGTCACAAGGCTGCGGCCCTGGCTAGAGGTATTCTTCCCAAGTGCCGACCTGAGAAGCAACCTGCTGCTTGGAGGTGAGGCCCACACCAGATCACGAACAGAGAGCGCTGAGCTTGTGGAAGCAAAGGAGACGGGAAAGTCTTTCGGTTTTGCAGATGCGCTATCAAGCCAGGTGATTTTCCGACTACAAGTGATCTGCTCCTTGTCCATTGCGTCCCCTACTTACCGGTACCACACAGCTCCGGCTCAACTGAACAGTCTAATTCCCAACGACTTAAACATTGGTCGGAGTAGCTATCTACAAAACAGTGGAGGCCCACGACGCTTGCTTCTCCGTCCATCGTGGCTTCCATCCTGAAGCGGGCGCATCCATCACCTTAAGGCTTTCACATTACCTGAGACACGAGCCGACGCCCTGAACCCGTCCTCACTCAGTGTCGTGCTCCGCCTGCGCCTGAGAAACACCTGGCGTCGACGCATGCCCCACGCGCGGCCTTGACGGGCAGGGCCGCCCTGAGCCATGCCGACCGGCCCCAAGACTGCGCTGCTCAAGGGGTTCTTTAAGGAGGTCCTGCGCACGTTGAAGGACGACTCGGCCTACCTGGCGCAGGCCGACCAGCTGCAGTCCGCCAGCGCCGCCCGTGGTGCTGCCGCCGCTGCCGCATGGAGCGTGCAGCCGGACGCGCACCGTGCGTTTGCGCGGCTGCAGCAGCTGGTGGTCTCCGGCGACCCACGTGCGGTGTGGGCGGCAGGGAAGGAGCGCGCCAAGGAGCGGCTGCGCGAGGCATGCGCCGCCATGGGGCGCCGCTTGGAGGAGGCGGGAGCACCAGCAGGGCAGCAGGAGCAGCAGCGGATGGAGGCGCGGTCAGCACACGGGGTCGATGGTGGCGCAGTGGTGGCAGCTGCTGAGGTGGACGAGCAGCAGCTGAAGCATCTCTACGGCACAGACGGCTGGGCCAGGGTGCGTCTCACGGGCGGCGGCTGGGGCCTTTGGGCGTGCGCAGCCGCTGGCGGGTGGTTTTGCTGTTTTGCTGCGGGGCCATGCGCAGGGCCGCACAGTGGCACAGGTTGCAGTGTTGTTGCTTCCGGGGGGACAGTCACCTGCAATGCACGCCAGCGCGTGTTGCACGCAAGCGCATGTGCCCCCTGGCGCCTGCTCTCGCTCCCGCCGATTCACGACAGGCGGGCATCATGTACGCCCTGGCCCACTTTGGTCGCGCATGGATGACACAGCTCAACACTACCACTGTGCAGGTGCGGCGCCATCTGCTGGTTGCTACGCCATGTTGGATACATGGATGCGCCGCGGCATGGGGCCGGGCAAAGGGGCCCCTATGTGACAACATGGCGCTGCACTGGCGGTCCGCACGCATTCTGGGTGGTCCAACCCCGCGCTGCTGTTTCGTGGTGCACACGGCTTACACCACCCCCTGACGCGGGCCCTCCTGCGCCATCCTGCCCCGCAGGGTGCGGAACACTTGGCTGCGGCGCTGGCCCGCGAGCCCGGGCGGCCCCTCATCACCGTGAGCAACCACGTGGCGTCCATTGACGACCCCCTGGTGGTGGCGGCCCTCCTGCCGCCAGAGGTGTTTGCGAGCCCGGAGAAGCTCAGGTGGGGCACGCAGCTGCAGGGGGCGGGGGCAGGGGCGGGGCGCAGCAAGGCGTGGCGGGAACACCGCGTGCGGGCGTTACGTCTGGTGTGGTGTGCTGCGTAGACAGCGCATGCTGTCTTCATTTGAGCAACATTGCAAGTTGCGAGGCCTCACACATAGACGTTTGGCCCGTGCTGGCGACCCCAACCCCGCGCCATCACGCCGCCCCCTCCCCAGGTGGACGCTGTGCGCCAGTGACCGCTGCTTCCACCGCGAAGCGCTGGTGCCCTTCTTCCGCGCGGCGAAGGTGCTGCCTGTGGAGCGGGGCGCGGGCATGTTCCAGCCGGGCCTCGCGGCAGCGGAGGCGCGCCTGCGCGCGGGCGACTGGGTGCACATCTTCCCTGAGGGCACGCGCAGCCGCGACGGCGCGAAGATCGGTCCCGCCCGCAAGGGCGTCGGCCGCCTCGTCGCCGCCTGCAGCACGGGCGGCGACGGCGCCGCCGCGCCGCCGCGCGCGCCGCTGGTCGTGCCGTTTGTGCACTCTGGCATGCAGGAGCTCATGCCGCGCGGCGCGCTGCTGCCGCGTGCGGGCAAGGAGGTCAGGGTGCTGGTGGGGGAGCCCATAGAGGTGCAGGACCTGCTGACGTCAGCGTCCCGCGAGGCCTGGCCCGACGACGAGCTGTACAAGCGCATCGCGGCGCGCGTCGGGCTCGCGCTGCAGTCGCTGCGCGCGCGGCTCGACGGCGCGCCGCTGGGGGACGGCGCGCTGGCTGACCTCGCGCGAGAGCAGGCGGGCGCGTCGGGGCTGGACCTGTACGACCCTCGCGACGCGCACGCCAACAGGGCGGGACTCAGGGGCTGGCGCGCGGGCGGCGCGGCGCGGTGGGTGACGAGCGTGGGCGAGCGGCTCGAGTTCAAGGCGCTGCACCGCGACTTCGCAGTGCGCGGCGTGGCAGCGGCGGCGCTCGAGCGCGTGGCGGGCGCGCCGGTGGCGCTGCCGTGGGCGGGGGATGGGGGGCCAGTCGCAGGTCGGTGGGCAGGCGGCGGCAGCGGCGGCGGCTACGTTGCAAGCAGCGGTGGCGGCTGTGGCAGCGGCGGCGGGGGCGGCAGCAGCATGTGGTCGTCGTGGGCGTCGGCAAACGCGCTGCACGCCTACCCAGCTTGAAGCGCCCTTTGCACATGTCCGTTGCCAATCTGTGTTTTGGTATCGACCCTGGGCGTACCTTTGACTATTAAGGTCCGCTGCGCCTCGGGGCCCACATGCCGCGCCCCCGCGCCATGAGATTCCGGAGGCGCAGCGCGCGGCGCACGCGGCCTCGTGCGTACGTGCGGATGTCGCGTTTGTCTGCCTTGATGCCCTTGGCGGCAGGCCAGGTGGTGATCAGGATTGTTCAGGATTGTTCGTGGCCTCGTCCCCCCATGTTTGTACCCGCCAGCATGCATCCTACACTTCCCAAAAGTCCAGTCGAGTCCCTGCTTTGTCAGATGCGCAGCATCCACCTCTGCTGCGCCCCGTCCACCACCCAGGCTCAACTTGCCGGTTCTTCGCTGGGGCTACGCTCCCCTGTCCATCGGGCACGCTCCCTTGTCTGTAGTGCGCTTCGAGGGCGTTGTTGTGGCCGGCGTCTTCAGTGCACATGTGATGTGTTTCATTGTCATCCTAGCCGACCCGCGTGACGCGGCCGCACAACGCCGAGCAGGCTTGCCAAGACACAGGTGGGGTGCCCTTTCACAAGCTTACACCATCCAGGGCTCGTGCCCGGGTGCCTGGCGTGCTGTTTTTGTGCTTGCGGCGGCAGGGTTTGCCACCCATGTGAGGATTTTACGCCATGCTTTGCCCTACAGGCCGGGCGGCTGGTCAGAGGTCTGTTTGACCGATGTGATGCAGTTGGGTTGCAGTTCATCCTTTCGCTGCTAGTGCTTGCAGTGTAATCTCCGAGTTGACAACAGCTAGCTTGTGGGACACAGATCTCGCATGGCAACGAGCTAGACGTCCGCAAGATCTCCTTTCGCCACGCGTGACCAGCACGCAGACAGCCTGCAGTGACCTTTCAAACAATGAAACTGCTTACATAGATTGTATTTCGTTGCTCGGCAACCGCTCAAGCATCCGAAAACTACAGACAAAACTTCGAGGCCAAGTCTCCAGCATAAGACGCCATCATGATGCTCTATTCAGGCACAAATCGGCTTTACAACGCACCTGTTACACGCGGGAGAGGCAGCACTGGCTGCAGCGTCGGCGCGAGGCCTTTCAGCGGTGCAGCGGCTGCGCGGCGCAGCAGGACCTGCACCGTGCGCGCCGCTGAGGCGTCCAACCCCAAGTGAGTCTCACAACCTCAAGACCTCAACAAAAATGCCAACCCAAAAGCAGCGCATGACGACAGCTGGCGGTGCCTCATGTGCAGGCGTCCCCCGGGCCCACCTGGACCGTCATGCCGCCATAGCCTTGTTTCCCCCTACTCTGCCCCCAAAACTCACCCCCCCCATCCCAGCCCCGAGCCCTCACCCACCCTGCACCCCACCACTCTCCCCCCACAGTGACTTTGGGGAGTCTGTGAAGCGGATAGCCAAGAAGATCCAGGGCGGCCTGCCCGTCATCGGCCTGCTGTCGCGCCTGGCCTCACCCCAGGGCGGGTTTGATGAGCTCGTGAGCGCCGCAAAAATGGGGGGGGTTGTGCACCCCCCCCCCCCCCCCGGACCGGTGGGGCGGGCCGCGAGGCGCGTTTGAGTGCAGCAGCTGACGGCAGCAAGACTGGTGCTAGCCCGGGCATGCGTTCCGGCAGGACCCAGCCCCTCAACCCCACCGCATGCACACCGCCGCACTCTCCTGCCAGGCATACCCGGAGTTCTGCCGCTCAGTCTACGACAGGGCCAGCCCGGCATATTTTGAGGCCGTGCAGGCTCTTGAGAAGGCGCACGGCAAGGTGGGCCCGTGGTGTCGGTTGGTGGGGACGGCTTTGTGCGCGTGGTGCTGTCTGCGCGCGAGGTTCGCATCGCTTGGGTGCTTGACGCTTGCGTGAGTGGCTCAAGCGCAGCCGGGCAAGCAAGCTTCGGGTCGGTGAAAGGGTGGCAGGGACTGCAGGCAATCGAGTCCGCTGTGCAGGGCGTCACGCGCACGTACTGCTGGGGTTGGCCCCTCGGCGGCAGCCATGGCCTGACGCGGCCTAGCGGCGGGCGTTCTGGGCGACGCGGGCCGTAGTAGCCGCGCCGCCCTGCAGTCAAGCTCCAGCAGCTCTGCCCTGCAAGCGCCCTGCACCAGCCCCACCCACCGCCGCGCGCCGCCCTCCCCGCCCCGCCCTTTTCTCCAGCCTGCCGTGCACCGCCAGCTGCTGCTGGTGCTGTGGATGGCCCAGCTCGGCAGCGGCGCCATCCCGGCAAAGGACGTCATCAGCGGGGCGCGGAGAGTGCGCGTAAGGTGGGCGCATGCGTGCGGCGGTTTCTCGCGCCGCGGGGCGCGTCATGCAGGCGCGTGGCCGCCGACGCACCCCCCTCCCCTCCCCTGTCTTTGGGTTCGGCCTGTGTAGTCTGGGCGTGGCGCCGCTACCGCCTCGTGCTCGGCAGCGTGCCATTGCCATGCACCCACTTCTCCCCTATGGCCTTCCCCCACACCCAACCCTGCTCTTGTATCCGCCGGCGACGTAACTGCCCAATGACAACCCGCCCGCTCCCCGCAGCCACGACGTGGAGTTTGAGGTGGACCGCTTTGAGGGCGCGCGCGAGGCCGCCCTCAAGAAGTACACCATGATGGAGCGGCCCCAGGGCCGCCTGGCGGAGCAGGTCGAGGTGGCGGTGGACGCCCTCGCAGCGCTCACGCTCGGTGCGCAGGGCCGCGCTCGGGCGCGGATACTCGTTTGGTTGCGTGTGCGTCGCAGCGGTGGAGGGGCAACGAGGAGTGCTTTGTTTGCGTTTCGTGCCGGCTCCCTGCGCGCGTTTGCTTCAGCCCGGGGAAGCCAGGTGCCCACTACAACTTGTTAGGCACCCCTTGCCCCCCTTTGCTTGATGTGCCTCAACCGCCCCAGCTTGTCACCTGCACCTCATCCTCCCGCCAATCCCCCTATCCCCATTACCAGGCCTGCCCGAAGGAAAGCCGATCCCCGAGGTTGACGCGGCCCGCATCGCCACCCTGGTGGCGTTCGTGTTCCCGGAGGCGGGCGACGAGCGCGTGCGGCAAGCGGTGCAGGAGCGGCCGCAGCGCAGCTACAGCTGAGCCGCCCGTCTTGCGCCTGGCCAGCGCCCCCCCCCCCTGGCGCGAGCGTGCGGCGGCCTTGTGCCGGAGAGCGGCTGGGCGTTTCGATTGGCACCTGCCATCCCGCACAGTTGTGCGCCGCCCCTTGGTTTTGACGTCACCCATCATCATTCTACCCCGTCATGTCATTAGTCAATAAGAACTCAGCAAGCTGGGGTTGTGTAACATTGAGAGCTGAGATAAAGTGACTGGTGGGTGCGGGTCCAGAGCCGGGCAACAGGGTGACTTTGCAGGCAAGCAGGCGGGACAGGGGCACCCTTGCACCCGCCCCGCCACGGCACCGGAACAGTGCTGAACATAGAACACCAAGAAAGACTGGCACCAATGGCCGGGAATGAAAGGACCGCCGGCAAACGGCAAAACACCAAACGCTGCTCTGGGAACAGCAAGTCAGAAGCGAGAATACGGCCCGTGGCACATTCGGCTGCACGCGAAAACGCCGCCGCTGCCGCCGCCAAAACTGGCAGCCCTTTACTTGCGGGTGGTGACGGCGCCTGCGGCGGCCGCCGGCGGTGGCGGCATGGGCAGGGGCAGCGCGGGCTTGAGGATGGCGCTGGGGTTGCGGTAGGTGTCGAGGTGGTGCAGGATGAGCAGCCGCGGGCCCGGGGGTATCCGCGCCTCCGCCAGAGACCTGCGGGGCAGATAGGGCGAGGAGGGCAAGGGGTGGGGGACAAGAACCGGCACCGCGCAGCAAGGGGTGGGGGACAAGAACCAGCGCCGCGCAGCGCACGGGTACGTGTGTATGTGTGTGTGTGTGTGTGTGTGTGTGTGTGTATGTGTGTGTGCGGAAACAAATGCCAGGTTGTTGTATGATCAGCAGCGGGGCACTGGCGTGTGTTTTTGCCCCCCTTCCACGCGCACGTATGGAGCCGATAACCAGCCAGGGTCAGACACGTCACACTCCGCTCCTTTTGAGATGCCCCCGTGGGCCAGTCTCCCCGTCGCCGTCCTGTCTGTCACAATCACATAGAAGACCCCTCTTCGCGGGAGCACCCCAACAGCGGCACTGTGGTGGCGTGCGCTCACTCTGCGTTCCAGAGCATGATGGTGTTGTCCGTGAGCAGGCCCTTCTTGAGGTTGTTCTCGTACTTGTGGAGGCCCAGCACGCGCAGCATGTACTTGCCCTGCGCGTACTCGGTCTCCTCGTGGTCCGGCTTGAACATGCTGGACAGCTGGGGGC